TTTTTTTTTTAAGGGAACACAATATTCCAAGCCCCATCCTGAGAGATCTGCTGCTTCTTCCCTTTTTTAACACTTTGCTCTAACCTCTTTGCCTTCARGTTCTGACTCTGTTCCAGTTCACTGACGAAGTCATTTCCCTTTCATGTGCACATTGCTGTCCCGGGTCCAGCCAGTCCCTGTCTCCTCATCCCTCAGAGTTTCCTTTTGGTCACTGTGACCTCCCTACCCCTCCCCACACTCTGGTATTGGGACGAGGCTGATAGAGGCACTGGCGAGTAATTCCTTCCCTCCCCTCAGCCTTCTCCTCTGTTTCTTGACTCCCAGTCTCCAATCAGACATTTCTGTTCTCTGCTAAACTCCACCCATTTCCCCAGTATAATTCTGGTCCCGCATCCTGGTGCAGCTTTTGTCACTTGTTCCTGTCCTGCTGCTGGGGGTGCCCCAAGAGCTCAGTGGGACAATAAGGAGCAGTTTCTTTGGCAGTGAAGTGGGTCCTGTTGCTCTGTGACATCTGTGAAACTCTGCCACAGGCAACTGCGGGGGTTTAAGCACCTCTGTGAGGATCTGGCTGCTGAAAGCTGCAGTGCATCTGACCTGTGAGCAGACTGCTTTATTCCATTCAAGACTCAACATTTTGACTTGATGTGGTGTGGTTTGACAGGGATGACAAACAGCTCTCTTCCCAGGAAGATGACTCCTGGCAGGCTAGAAGTCCATGTGACTATCGATCTTTGAAAATGGTTATGTCTTTATTTTTAGTGATCAATGTATTTTCTTCTATTTTTAGTTTTAGAAATTGATCATCTGAGTTTGGTAGTGTTTTTTGTTGTTGTTGTTAAAGGTGTAATCTGATATGAGAACAGTCTGTAGTTACAGTTAAAATTGAAATGGCTTGTCAAAATGTTTTGATATTACAAATATAAGTCCAAGCTGTATTATTCCTTGAGATGGGTTTCAGTGAATCCTAAATGTCACTTTATGACACTAGTGCTGGGAGGGCTGTAAGATAAACTAAGGCCAGTCTGGGCACTTGCATTTCTTGTAAGGCTTCTCCTCCATTGATTTGGGTGGTTTCTGCTTTGCTGATTCCTGTAACGTGCAACTCAAATCACGGCTTAAAGCAATTTAAAGGCACATCCATTACAATCTCCAMCCCAGGCCCTTTTTGGGCCATGGTATCTAATTTAATRTTGCAATAAACTCCTCTCCTTGTGCCCAGCCTGGCTGTGACAAGGGGTTCCCCCTGAAGCCCCCCATTAGTATCATTTACACCATTGTCCTCCTTCATGGACTGCAGGGGAACACTGCTTCACCACGGTCTTCATCACAGGCTGGAAGGGAATCTCTGTTTCCCCTGCTCCAGCAGGGATTCCCACCCACAGGAGACAGYCCTGTTGAGCTTCTGCAGTGTGGGTCCTTCTCATGGGCTGCAGTTTTTTATGATTTGTTCCTGTGYGGATCCCCAATGAGATCACAGGTCCTGCCATAAAAACTGCTCCAGCACAGGCTCCTCACAGGTTCACGTCATATTGTCCTTCAGGCAYCCCTCTGCTCCAGCCTGGGTYCTCYAGGAGCTGCAGGTGGATCTCTGCTCCATCATGGACTCATCCACATCCCTTCAAGCAAGGTGCAGAAGCAGAAAGTGACCACTAAATGARTATTAGACCCAAATATACGGTCGTATGTATACACATACATTTACAAACGTTCTTACTGGAGAGTAAACCATTTATTTGCAAGACCCTGTTGAGTGGTTTCAAGCACTGTTTAAACTACAGATGTTTTTCCTAACAGTTGTCAGGATGTAATGTGTAAGGAGCAGCACTTTCATGAAAGCCCTTGTCACTTGCTCATGGATGGAAACAGGAGACTTTCCATTAAATTCAGATTTCATACTGATTTTATTATCTCATTTATTATCTCATAGCCTAAATATGCCACCMCACTCAAGAAGTGTTTTTCCCTTTATTTGTGTACATTGCATAACATGCACAAATGTTAGTCAGACAAGACAAGATATTTTTTCCCTTTTAAGGTCCTCCTCCATAGTGGGAAAATGGAACTTCTGTTTATGCAACTTTTTCCATGATTTTTCTCTTTTTTTCATGATTCTTTTCTCTTTTTTCTTTTCTTTTCTTTTCTTTTCTTTTCTTTTCTTTTCTTTTCTTTTCTTTTCTTTTCTTTTCTTTTCTTTTCTTTTCTTTTCTTTTCTTTTC